TATTATTATTATCCACCATTAAACACGACAAGGCTACTTGTCGGAGTTTTTAAGTATTTATCCGAGGTTTCTACCCGATTCCTTAGGGACAAATACTCGAATTTCGGTGGTGCCACTTATTATAAGATAGCACCACATCAATTCTTGAAGGTCTTCCTGAGTCCGTCTTTTTCGATGGGAACGATTTGTCTCCTGAACTGGGCTCCGGTGACTAACATCTTTGGAGTGGCCAGGGTCAGAAGCAGTGAAATTCACGTTCTCGTCGAGCTGCCTCAGGTCGACAGTAGAACAAGATTTTGTTTTTGGTTCTTACTTTGTCTTGTTCTCATTTTTTTTGCTCTTTTTAAGCCAACAGCACGTGGCGTTCTTAAACGGTCACCCATCCAAGTTTGCACCACGCCCGATGCTGCTTAACTTCGGTGATCGTACGGGAACCGGTGTGACCAGCACGCTATGGCCGTTGGCTTTTATTATTATTATTATTATTATTATTATTATTATTATTAAATTATTCATTTTTATTCGACGTATAATTATTCATTTATTTTAATATTATTATTATTAAGGAAAAAAATGATATTTTTATCGTTCGTCTTAAAAGTAAAAAAAAAAAAAAAAAATCTTTATCAGGTAAATGCGATACCCGAAACGATTCGATTAAACGTCACTTCCGGTTAATCATTATCATTATCAATCATTTCCTATTGTCTATATAAAATGTTTTTTGTTTTGTTTTTCCAATCTCGGGATTTTTTCATTGTTATTGAAAGCGTTTAAACACTGAAACCCACAAAAAAAAAAATGCGACCCCATGACCAAACCACCCTCATTTAAAAGCCAACAAATATTTAAAAACATAAAAAAAAAATAATAATGATGATGATGATGATAATTAAAATCAAACATCATTTAAATTCCCACACCCGGAGCGAAATATAATAATAATAATAAAACATATAATCAAAATTAAAAACAATTAAATAAACCCTAAGCAAATTCAAAAAAAAAAAATTTTTGTTGTCTATATCGTATTAGTATAAGCGTTTTATTTATTTATTAGTGTATTAATAAATACCACCCATTAAAAAAAAACAACAATTGAACACGCACACACCATACTCCATCCCAAAAAAAAAAAAAAAAAAAAAAAAACAGAAAAAAAGAAAATTTGAAAATATTTTTAAAAATTTACTCCGGAAAATTCCTCATTCGTTCCATTATCGAAAGTTTTATTTACGGTCGATTTATTATGATTAACCTTTTCTAAAGTCATCTCTTCCCTTCTAATTGATATTCTCTTATCTCTTGCTCCAGTCGGTGAAATCTGATAAATAAAAAACTACGGCTTAAATGGCTTTTAATACCTTACTTATTATTATTATTAATCGTTCGACTCCATTTTGTAAAAAAAAAAAAGTTCATTGAACTAAACGAAAAACAAGAAAAAAAAATAAACATAAATTAATAATAATAATTGGATATAAATTTATTTTCCTCTCCAAAAATTGCATTTATTGATTTTCTTTTTAAATAATTTCCCCCCACCCCACTAAGGGGGGGAGGCTTTCATTTGAATAATAATAATAATAATTAAAAACAATGAGTTCTAACTCCGTGAAAAAATTCATTAAAAAAAAAAAACAAAAAAAAATTTTTCTTTAAAAAAAAAATTATGAAGTTGAATATTTAAAAAAAATATTATTATTATTATTATTATTATTATTATTATTATTATTATTATTATTATTATTATTGTTTTAATGAAATAAAAAAACTTATTTACATAAATTTTAAATTCTTAATTCTAAAAAAAAATTAAAAATAATAATAATAAAATAAAATATTAATTATAAAAAAAAAACGTTATTAATATGTATTTATTTAAATAAAGATAAAAAGATTTTTAATAATAATAATAATAATAATGTATATTTAATATGGAGTTTAAAAATAAAAATAAAATGTTTGTTATAATTAAAATATATTTTAGTTAAAAAATTTTATTTTTTTAAATAAAAAAAAAAATCAAAATCGAATTATTGAAATTTTTGTTTTTTTCTCCTCCCCTCCCCTTCCATTCCTCCTTCCACTCCTCCCCCTGCCTTCCTCCTTCCACGCCTCCCCTCTCCGTTCCAGATTTTTTTTTATCTCGATTTTCGATTCCATTAAAAATGAATTAAAAATAAAAAATAAAAAAAAAATGGAATTATTTTTAAGAAACGCATAAACACGAAAGGGGGGGTAGAGGAAAGAAAAATAAATTTCCTAATTTTTCCCCGATGCGTTAATTTATTTCCTTATATGGTAATTTTTTACAAAAATGCCTACTCGTTTCAAAAATTAAAACAAAAAAAACCGAACGCGAATATCCCCCCCTTACAAATTTTTGAGTTTTCTTTTATAATTATATTATTACAATGTATTTAATTAAATATTTCATCGACATTGTTATGCGTTACGTTAATTAAATCATAATCAAATTGACGTGGAACTAATTTTTTAAAAAAAAGCGCGGGAAAAACAAAAAAACTTTTCCGCAATTTTAATACAAAAATTAATTATACACATTTATAATAATTATATACCACTAATTGTCACGATCTTACTTTAAATTTATATTATAAATATATATTT